ATACAGTGGGGCAAAAAAGTAAAATAAATAAATAAGTAAATAAATAAAAAACGAAATAAATAAATAAACTAAACTGTATATATATATATATACAGTTTAGTTTATGATTCAGCCTTGGGTAAGACTTTTATAGTCTATGGCTATGACGCCCATAATGCTAAACGGGAGCAAATGTTAAAAGGGGACCCAATTATCCCAGTGGTGGAGTGAAGGAGTCCGGCGTTATAACTGGAGATCAAGGAATGTAGTGAAAGGACTTGGTTCGCCTGCAGCCCGCTGTAGTATTAGCTAAAGAAATGATGTTGAACAAGGCTTATTAAGCAGAACATCGCCACAATTGTTCTGCTATGTATCGGTAGCCTACTTATTTTTATTTTATTAACGTGTGAATGACAAGCATTAGGAATAACAAAAAATAGCTAATTCTCTTGCAGATTGTCTTGTTTGATTATGAATGTAACGTGTATATAGTGGAACTACACTGTTTTATCAAAATCAAAGTGCCACGCAGTGACTTGGTGTGCATGTATTTCAGCAGGAAATGTGCAATGTAGATGACATTTACCAGCACAGACTATATAGAAATATTTGTAAAAGTTGTTCATGCGTTATTAAGTGAATATGGCATTAAAACACCTATGCTTTTTGACTGTCACATTTTTACATTTCAGCATTGCATCACTAATTTAAGTTCTATGTTTTGCTTGTTAAGCAGTCTGTAACCCTACACACCTAACATATAACTTTTCATGTATTTTTGTATATAGGTTTCCTTTAGCTTAGCTTCTTAGCCTGAGCTAGTTCTGGAACTTCCAGCTCGGTGGCAGCAGGTCCCGCCTCGGCTCCGCCTCTTTGCCCTTATTTGGATCAGGCTGGAGCAGGCGGGAGTTGAACTCTGACGTCACTGTCGAGCCGTTAGTGGCCGACTCCGCCTACTAAGGGCTTCACGGCAACTCTGCAGAATCCTATGGGTGACGTCACGGACACTACGTCCATTTATATATACAGTCTATGGTTCACACCGGAATAAGTCCCTGAGGGAAGATTATGCAATTGAAGCCGCTGACGTCACTTCTTCTTCTGCATTGGGTTTACTGGCAGGCCGCAAACAACTTCACGGCGTATATTGCCCCCGGCCGGAAGTCCCCGGAGTTGGGGACTAGCTCCAGTAGAAGCCTTCCGAGTAAATCACCAGAACGCCGACACCTCTCTTAGACAAAAAATAAAGATGAATAACTAAAATAAAACTCCAAACATCTTTAATTGTGTTATTTTTTTGTAAAGCTCTTTTAGTTTTAAACCTGATGTTTATAAGCCTCTTATAGTTTTTGAAACAGTCTGTAAATATACACAACTTTATAATAAAATGCACACATTTACTTTTTTCTAGACTAAACACAGGTATGATCTTAAGTTAAAACATATGAGGTTATCATGAGGTTGTTAACATCGCAGTTTATCAGTGGATGTTTGCTGGAACTACTTGTAAACAGCGTGTTTCCTGACGGACACACACAGCGTTGAGACCGGTCAGGTAGAGACCGGTCTCAAGTCAGCACCGATTGCAGACTCCCTGTTTGATGGCTTGATAGCCCACTCCCCCTCCACACCACTCCACACTCGTTGGTTTGGAACAGCACTTAATGTGGCCGACCCTCCGCGCGATCGCGCAAACGGAGGGGTAGTGTGTAGGGGTAAGGTGTAGGGGTAGGGTGTAGGGGGCGGTTTGGGATTGGGCCTCAGTCTCTCTCCGTTGGTGCGCTGGGCTAATGCTAATAATCAGGGCCGTTTCTTCCAATAGGCGGACTATGCAGATGCAGAGGGCCCCCGCGGCCACTAGGGGGCCCCTAAGCTGAAAGTAATTTTTTGTATTCATCCAAAAAACAAAAAAAGTATAATTCATACACACAAAGATGAACAAAATTAGTAGAAGCGGGAGGGCTGAAGCATAGCTTATGGAAAGTAGCCCTCCCGTGCATCATCCTAATACAACATCGGCATTATTGCGTCAAAAACGTATAGAAATGAAGGAGTACAAACAAATAAAGAAAACGGGAGAAAAAATTAAATAAAAGTTAGGGCAGGAAAACAATAAATGCATATATATATATATCTACGAAAACTAGATATAGGGTCATTTTCTGCACATGTCAATAGCAGTTTCAACTATCTTTTTTTGGAAATGAAAATACTATATATAAATATATACATATGTACACATGTACTTGGCACATCAACAATATTAATAATAGTAATATATGCATATAATAATATATGCATAATTGCATATAAACATTGTGAAAACTTATTTTCAAGTGACTTTTTTTACATTCATATGTTGGAACTGCTTTTGAATGTTATTAGGCATTTTCTTATGGAAAATGTTGTGCATAACCAGTACTGTTTTAAGCTGTACTATGTCAAGACATTTTAATAGATTGAGTTTTTTTTTAAATATGGGAGTTGTGTGTTCATATTTACCAACACCACAGACTATTCGTAATACTTTTTTTTGGGATGTTATTATTTTTTGTAGATTTGTTGAGTACGTGTTTCCCCATATTTCGGAGCAGTAGTAAAGGTAAGGGAGAAATAGACTGTTATAAAGAGTATTTTTTCTTCAAGAATGTTCTTAGTATGATACAAAATACCTCATTTATAATTTATATAGTGCTTCCAATTGAGTTTTTCGTCAACAAGCAGTCCTAAAAATGTACATGCACCAACCTTTTCTATCTCGGTATTGCAAATCCGTATAATGCAGTCATTTCTACTCTCAGACTTTGTATTGAATAACATGTAATTTGTTTTGGCCACATCAAGGGATCATTTATTAACTGCAAACCAGTTACATAGTATTTCTAATTCTGCATTCACAATTTTAACAAGATCGCCAAGATTATGATGGGAGCAGAGAATTCAAAGTTCAAGTTTAACCTCAATATATTTGGGGAGAATTAAAATGAGCTGTCTTTATTTGTAGACAGCCAAGCCCCCTCCTGTGTTCAGTGAAGCATTATATGCTTACAAATCCAATGTAGGATATAAACACGACTAAACTGCAATGATAGCAAAGCTGTGGCTTGGGTGTTTGGGGTAATAAAGTCCAAATCATCGTTGGGCTGTCAGCCAATGAGTGACGTCTGAGGAAGATGATACATGTAAATTAAACATTGTTGAGAAAATGCTGCATCTCTTGCATTTATTGACATAGAGGAGCCTTATTGTTTAACTTTTTAATATAATTTTTTGTAATTTTCAATTGCTTGGTTTTCGTGAAATTAGCCTGTTTTCCTATTAAAGTGTAACAGATTGATGCATCTCCACAGATCATCTTAAAGGCTTCGGAATCCCCCCCATTGTAGTTAAAAAAAACAGAATGCAGCGGCTCGTCTGGTCTTCAACCTTCCTAAATTCTCCCACACCACTCCGCTCCTCCGCTCCCTTCACTGGCTTCCGGTAACTGCTAGAATCCACTTCAAGACACTGGTACTTGCTTACCATGCTGCGAATGGATCTGGCCCTTCGTACATCCAGGACATGGTTAAACCGTACACCCCAGCGCGTGCACTACGCTCTGCATCAGCCAAACGACTCGCTGCACCCTCGCTGCGAGGGGGACCCAAGTTCCCATCAGCAAAAACACGTGGGTTTGCTATCCTGGCTCCAAGATGGTGGAATGAGCTCCCCATTGACATCAGGACAGCAGATAGCTTGCACATCTTCCGGCGCAAACTGAAAACTCATCTCTTTCGACTCCACTTCGAGCGATAGATTTATTAACAAAGCACTTATATACTAATAAAGGACTGGCTTATCTAAAGCCAGTTGAGTAGCACTTGAAATGTTTGGCTCTATGAAACCTGATGAACTTATATGATTCTGTTTTCTTCAAGGTTGTGTCTTCCTGGTCGAATGTACTTATTGTAAGTCGCTTTGGATAAAAGCGTCAGCTAAATGCAATGTAATGTAATGTAATGTAAAAACTAGGGCCCCCAAAAAGCTAGAAACGGCCCTGCTAATAATGCTAATGCCAGCAAATACAATGGCAGCTTCACAAAACCTTTCAGAGTTTTACAGGGCGTGGTTTGCAATTCGCCCAGCCAATCAGAAATTTGAACTTTTTTCTCACCAGGAAAGTACCTGCGCAAGATCCCAGGAACTATCGGAACTAAAAGGGAAAAGTACGGGGAAAAGTACTCCGGTGTGAAAGCGCCTCTTGTTTCATTTTGTTTCTTATAGTACCCTCACACCAGATGCGATGCGATTTTCGGGCAATTACATGTTAAGTCAATGAAAAGGCGCGGATAAACGCACATTTGTTTGTAGGACTTTCAACGAAGGTACAAAGCAGCAATAGTTGTAATATCTCCCATAATTAAGTGCAGAAAGAAATGTGTTAACAACATCAACGGCGTCTAATATTTGCATCGCGTCCGATGTGAATGCACCATTACACTCATTGTTTATAGCATAAATACAGTTAGCCACAATTACATTTGTTTCTTCAATGAAAGTTGACATTTTCAGCTTGATATTAGTAGTGTTTCATGTTGACATGCATTATGTTCAGCTTCAATGTAGCTGGCCGGCTCTGTTGTGATTGTTCAACTGCCTAAAGATGTCCCGCTCTTTAGCCTATCACATACAATGCGTGACAGCGCTAGCCAATATAAGCACAAGTGTGACATAGTGATGTCACTGTGTTCCGGAAGTAAACAAAGGACTCCAATAAAGGGGTTTCAGGCAGGGGGGGGGGGATGTTTTAGGAAGAGAAACTCCCTCTGGAAGGAACACAGGGATTTTAGCCTTTGCAGACCATTTACTTGCACAAAAACCTATAACACACTACAGGAAAATGAAAACCCCAAAAATCACAACAGCGTCAATTTAAACAAACACCTGAACCCCTTGAACAATGGATTCTAACTGACCATAGATCTGTGCATGACAGGTTTCTGTAACATATTTGAATGGGGTTGAGTATTAATCAGCTTTACCTTAAACTGAGCCTCTGGGGGTCCGGTCACTATCACCATCCTCATTTTAGAGTCGGGAGCCTCAGCCGGGGCGATCTGTAGGAGAGGAGGAACACTGTCATTAAGGGAGGAACACTTATGGACTGTTTCACAAGTACTAGTTTCACATCTAATGAAAGACTTTCACATATTTTATATTAATAGAACTGACAAACTATGGCTACTTAACACCACATTCAGTTTAATAAAAACGCCATTCATAATAGGAACATTTATATTTGTAATTGAAGATGTCTGATAGATGATGTGAAGTAAAAAGTATAACTCTTGGCTATGTCTCAGGGGTGAAATTGGGGTATATTAAGCAGAGGGTCTGTGTCTGATCCTCAGCGCCACTGAGACTTCAACATGTTGAAGTGTCCCTGGGAAAGATACTGAACCCCAAACTGCTCCTGTGAAATGGCTATGAAATGTCTAGAAGTGTATGCGAGTCCCTTCTGATAAAAGCTTCAGCCAAATGTAATGTAGTGACTAAAAAAAAAATACTCAAGTAATGACCAAGTACCCAACTTTCTACTTTAATACAGTACTAGAGTATAACGTAGAGTATACTTAGTTAGAGTCCACCACTGTCCGTAAGAGGGCTGTTTAGTTACAGTCCCTGCACACATGTGGCAGGGGGGGCTCTCTTCACCCACCTTGATGGAGGCTCCAGCGAAGCGGCTCAGCTGTTTGATATGCTGTCCTTTCTTCCCGATGATGGCTCCCACTGCCTGGGCTGGGATGTACACATGGACCGTCTCCTGCTCTGGAGCCTGGTCACACAGAGCACACTTCAGGTTACTCAGGCACTTTAAGGACTTCTTTAAAACGGACAGGCTCAATTTGTCGGGTTGCTGGTTTTATAAAAAGGTTCCAAGTAGTTTTTGCTCTTTCCAAAGGTTGCACTGGCCACATGCGTATATTTGGTTTTAGTTCCCATCCAACATGTTGTGAGATCACATCTAGTTTTAAGCCAGGATGATTCAAATACACTTTTAAATAACATTTGAAAATGTATAGTTTCTGTATTTTTCAATGGGGCAGACAGAGTACATTTAATTGTATTGTTTTATTGAAAAATCAGACACATATCATAATTTCAAGCAAATAATTGTATGTTTAAAAATGTATGACATAATGTCCCATGTGATATTCTTTTAAAGTCTCCAGAGTCTGGAAAATGTTTGATACTATCCGGTCTGGTTATTGTTTTACTACAAGTAGGAAATATGATGAGATGACAATAATACTGCACACTGAAAAAAAAAAAATAATATTAAATGGCAGTGATGGGAGTCAAAGATCAAGTATTCTCACCCCGAAGCAGCCGTAGGGGGCACTACTGGGGGCGTTTCCAGGCGGGGGTGGGGGCATGTTGGAGGAGGAGGGGAAGAGGCCCAGGGCACCGAGGTTGAGACCCGGGATCAGGTGGGTCTGTTGCTGGAGAGAAGCAGGTTGCAGGTTAGAAACATGCAGTCCTCACAGTGAGCAGCAGGGAGACAAAATGTGGTGACAGGGTTAACATTATTATTATAAATACCTTTTTAGTTTAAAACGTATTTTTGTTTAATAAATCAGGGTAAATAATGTTTTTTTTTCCATTAAAAAACTAAACATTAAAAAAAGAATGAAAGTAGCCAAAATGAAAAAGAAAAAGAAAATTCACTCTACCTTTAATATATATATATATATATATATCTTTATTTGAAAATATTTTTGTAACATTGTAATCCTGCTATTATTCCCAATTCTTAAAGAGTGTTCCAGTAATCTGATTACATCCGTTTTGATGTAACTGTAAGTGACTATAGTCTAGTTGCCAGCAGTGTGAACCCGGTAATGTTGAGTAACCAAAAGTTATATCTCTGACAGGCTCCGCCCTCTACTGGACTCTATGGGTACTCCCCTTGATCCTATCATGCAAGCATTCATCCACTGAGACTTTATAGACGTAGCCGGCCCGGGGCGGAGCTACCTGAATGCGCGTGCATCTCACCGCATAAAAGGAGGCCTCGCCTCCTGACTGTCATCCCTTTCTCTTCAGCAAGCAAGAGAGACACACTGAGTGAAGAGAGACGGATAAATCAAACAAACAACGAAGAAAATGGACTCACCATTGCTGGAGCAACGGCCCTGTCTCTCATGTCCGGGCGTCATTGCAGGCGCCGACCTCCACCGCCAGTGCATCGAATGCCTGGGGTCCGACCATGAGGCGGCCAACCTGGGCCCGCTTACGGTCTGCAGCGCCTGCCCTCTAATTCCTCGGCTCAGCCGCCACCAGCGGCTGGCGCAGTTTGAGGACTGCTACGTCTTACCGGTGGAGGACCCAGAGCTCGACGTGGTGGAGTTGGAGGACCATGAGGAGGGAGTGCCCTTCGTGTTCGCCATACCAGCGGACCGGGCGGGCCCGCTCGTCGTGGGAGAGGGACGGCGACACCTCGTCGTCTGATGTTTCCAGCGGCGGCCAGTAATCTTAGTGTATTGGGAGTGTCGCTGATTACCCCTCAGCAGGACACCTCCGTCCCCCCCGCCTCAGCCGCATGCTGCCGCTGGCTCGCCCTCAGGCCTTTCCACAAGGGAGAGATTGCCCGGCGGTGGTAAGGCGGAGAGAGAGGCGCCAGTACAGAGCCCCCATGGCTCCCGTCGCGCCCTCTGCCTCCGTCCCGAAGAACCGGCCCTCACGGGGACAGGCTGACCGAACCCGGCGGGCTCCGGCTCCCGTTCCGCCTCAGCGAAGGGGTGCTGGGTGGGGTGCACCGTCCTCCAGGAGTTGACTGGCGGCGAGAGGAAGCGTCCCGGCGGAGAGAGGTGATTTCTCCGGCCAGGACGCGAGGGCGAATCCCGTCTCCTCCCTATTTGATCCCACTGTGACAAGATCATCTTTTGTAAACAATAAAATAGATTGCTTGTATTCCAGTCTGAGTGTCTTTTCTTTCCACACACCCACACAGCCACATAATGTTGACCATACAGATTCCCCACTCGCTGCCCAGGATGTAACTCCAGTAAAGGAGGCAGCTAGTGCACATGCACGGGTGAGAGTGATAAACCGCGCAGTGCGGGTACAGGGACATTATGGCCGGTGTAGCAGGGTTAGGAAACATATAACGCCGAGTGTAAAAACTCCGCTTGATGCATTTCACTGTTTGGGTGAAAGCATCATGGCGGAGCGCGCGCTCCCACGAGAGCGAGGATTGCACATCCTCTAACACAGTGTTATGGGGAATGGAAGCGCAGCTGCGTGTAAACGGAGTGGATGAACAGGATGCTGAGACTGGGTTATCACTCCAGATTTGCAGCATCCCTCCTCCGTTCACAGGCATAAGAGAGGCAAAGCTATCATCCCTCTCAGCAGAGGTTCAGGCCCTGGTGCAAAAACAGGCAGTGTCTGCTGTGCACACTCAAGACAGAGAGGATGATTGACAGACGTTCTCGCCTCACTCTCTGGGTGAAGCGCCCACTCACCTGGGGCATTATTCCCTGTACTTCCTGGTTCCCAAGAAGACAGGCAAATTCAGGCCCATTCTGGATCTTCGCAGCCTGAATCTCCACATTGCACGCAGAAAATTCCAGATGTTAACTATAAAACAGTTACTGGGACTGGTGCAGCCAGGCGATTGGTTCAGAACCATCGACCTGAAGGATGCTTACTTTCATGTCGAGATTGCTCCGAAACACAGAAAGTATTTGCGTTTTGCCTTCCAGGGTGTAGCCTACGAGTACAACAGACTACCGTTCGGCTACTCCCTGTCCCCATGCACGTTCAGCAAATGTGTGGCCACAGTGCTCCAACCGCTGCGCGCCCGTGGCATGAGAGTTTTCTTTTCTCTAGTCTAGACGACCTCATAGTCATGGCCAGGTCCAGGGAACGGGCAATGTTTTACACAGCCCAATTGATCCTACACCTAACCAAGTTGGTTTTGCGATCTATTGGAAGTAGAGCACCCCCATACCTCACCAACAGGCATAGTATTTGGGAGTGGTGCTCGATGCAGGCAGGCTACGCGCCACCCTGTCAGAGAGCAGACAGGCATCCTTGCTTCGGGCAGTTTGCAGACTGCGACAGGGGGCAACAGTGACAGCTTTGACTATCATGCTCACGTTGTGGTCCCACTCGGGTTACTGCATATGCGCCGCCTACAGAGGTGGTTCTCCAGCCTGCGTTTGGATCCCAAAAGACACAAACGGCGTCTGGGGACCATCCCCCCCTCAGTGGAGGGCAACATCCGGAGGGGGTCCCCACTGGGACGGGTGACCTCCTACATCACAGTGTTTACGGACGCATCCGGAACAGGATGGGACCTGCCTGGGGAGAGCTATAGGTGGGCGCTGGTCTCTAATACCTCATTCACACCAACGGTGTTTCAGGGCCGGTTCGGAGCTGGAGTTTGAAAAGCACCGGGTTTTCCTGTTCACACCGCAGCGGAGCAGCCTCTTAGCTCCGGAATCCGGTTAGTTTCAAGCACCAAAAATGTGTCCGGCTAGAGCAAAAGCACTGCATACGTCACGCTTACGTCGAGGCGGGGACAGGGGCGGGATCAACTCCTGAACAACAACAAAAAGCCTGCGTGTTATCCAGTTTGTACACAACGATGGAGAAACTTAACAAGCAGCAGTGGTCCACTGAAGAGACCAGCTACCTACTGGGAATCTGGTCTTCCGAAGAGGTACAGAGGAAGCTGGAGCACAATCGGCCATTGTTGTTGTTGTCGGTGTGAGCTGTGAGGGGTTTCTGAGCGGTTTGGCTTTATGAAGCAGGCACGCAAACGTTTACGTCATGACGCAAACGATGACGCAATGACGCAGCACCAGTCGGGCTCTGGGCGGTGTGAAAAGAGCCGGAGCTAAACCGAAGAACCGGTTCTGAACCTGAAAAGCTCTAGCACGGAGCTTGAACCGGAGTTGCGTTGGTGTGAATGAGGTATAACAGAGACACGGCACAGCAACCTTCTAGAGCTACGGGCAGTAGTGTTGGTCCTCCAGCATTTCAAACCCTTAATTCGGGGGAGACATTTAATGGTCAGAAGCGACAACAGCACCACAGTGGCATATATCAACAGGCAGGGCGGAGTTTGCTCCGCCGCTTTGTTGGCCACAGCGGAGAGGCTGTGGTTGTGGGCATCAGAGGTGGTGTTATCTCTGAGAGCCCTCCATATCGGCCACTGTGCCCTGTGGTTTTCCATGGCCCTGAGCGACGATCCGCCTTTGGGGGTGGACGCGTTTGCACACGAGCCATGGCCAAGGAAGCTGCTATACGCCTTTCCACCGTTGCGTCTCATTCTCTCTCTCCTGGGGAGAGTGAGGCGAGAACGTCTGGCAGTCATCCTGGTAGCACCGGATCGCGTCGGGGCTCCGTGGTACTCAGAAATGACGCAGATGAAGGTGGGCCAGCCCTGGGCGATTCCCCAGTTCTGGGGGGCGATGTCTCAAGAGGCAGGTGCAATCGGGGCATTACCCACTCTGGGCCGTCCTCTCCAGGCTTGGCTCCTGAGAGGGACAGGCTGAGACAGGGTGGATTGTCTGATAGCGTTATTCAGTCTATCCAGGCAGCTAGAGCGGGATCCACCACAGCCTGTTACAGGCCAAGGTGGCTAGGATTCCAGCAATGGTGTGAGGAGAGGAGAATAGAGCCCATCTTGTGAGTTGGGCTCTGTTTTTTCCTTCTTACAGTTATTGGTGGACAGAGGACTAGCTCATTCTACTATAAAAGTGTATGCAGCAGCCATCTCGTCCTGTCATGAGGGATTCAACAGCAGGTCAGCCTTTTCTCATCCACTGATGTTGTGGTTTTTACAGGGGGTCAGGAGGCAGCGCCCAGTAGGTCCAGTAGGGACCTGCCGCTGGTGCTCGAGGCTTTGGTCACAGAACCATTTGAGCCTCTGGAGCTCTCCTCCCTGAAAGCACTGTCGTGGAAGACAGCATTGCTACTTGCCTTAACGTCAGCCAAGAGAGTGTCCGAGTTAACCGCTCTGTCGGTGCACCCGAGCTGTTTACTGATTTGGGGTGACCGGAGCGGCGCGACACTCAGACCGAACCCCTCCTTTGTGCCCAAGAACCTAAGGAGTGCGTTTAGGTAGAGGGTTATTCAGTTGGGGGGATTTAGTCTTCCACCCAATGGTGGGGCCAGGGAAGCTAAATTACACCTCCTCTGCCCAGTGCGCGCGTTAGCATGTTATGTAGAGCGCACAGCTACCCTGAGACGCACTGAACAGCTGTTTGTGTGCTTCGGGGGCGGGGTGACTAGAAAAGCTCTGTCCAAGAAACGCCTGGCAGGCTGGCTTTGCGAAGGCATTGCACACGCCTACGAGCAGGCAGGGAGAGCCTGTCCCACGGGGGTCCGTGCGCACTCCACACGAGCTGTGGCTGCATCAACAGCCTTATTCAACGGTGCGAGTGTAGAGGATATATGCACGGCGGCGTCTTGGTCAATGCCAGGCCCCTTCATAAAGTGTTATCTCTTGGATATGTCTGGCTCTTTCTCAACGTCTGTGCTTGCTGGAGCAACACAGGACTGGTGAGGAGGGGGGGGGGGCTGTTGGTCAGTGGGCATCTGACCCTCTCCCCGGGCGTAAAATGCCCTTACGTTTCTCCGGACCCCTGGAGGGTCGCGGGGGACGTGGGGTGCTCTGGGCCCTTTTCAGGGCTGGAGGGCTCCCCTCGCCTGCCTGGGGGCAGGAGGGGGAGAGCCCTCCATACTATAGTCCCTACACACTCTGCACAGGGTCAGTGTTGGAGTGTGGGGACATAGGGGGCACTTGCATTCTCCCCGTGCTCTTTAGGGACTCAGGAGGGAGAGTGCATAGTGAACCCATACAGGGCTGGGGGGTTTTCCCTGTCTGCCTATAGGTGGATGCAGGGGAGCCCTCAGCACTGTTTTTTTCGAGCACACTTTTTTTCGCGAGGCAAGCGCGTCAGGGTGTGCTCTATCGGCCGCAGCCCAGACTTCTCCATGGTTACAACCGAGGAAGAGGTGAGTGAGGCGCAGTGGCTGCTAAAGCCGGTCAGGGACAGTGAGGTGGAACGGTGTGCTGGACGACAGTGCGTGCATACATCGGGGCTCCGCCCACTGTACACATAGAGTCCAGTAGAGGGCGGAGCCTGTGAGAGATATAACGTTGGGTTACGTATTGTAACCCTTGTTATATTAGCACAGGCGGAGCCCTCTACCTTGGGGCACTGTCTGTCCTATACCGCTCGCTGAAGAGTGGTGTAGGATGGTGGTCAGGAGGCGAGGCCTCCTTTTATACGGAAGTGAGATGCGCACGCATTCAGGTAGGCCCGCCCCGGGGCCGGCTACGTCCATAGAAATCTCAGTAGGTGAATGCTTGTATGATAAGGTAGTACCCATAGAGTCCAGTAGAGGGCTCCGCCTGTGCTAATATAACAAGGGTTACAATACGTAACCCGACGTTACCATACGTAACCCCTCGTTTTATGTTAGAAATCTATAATAGGGGTCCCCAGTACATAGAAACTGCTGGAGGCTAACCTGCATAAATGGACAATTTTGGGTTGATTTTAACGTTTTAGGGGACTCAAAACTGCAATTTCTTATCCTAAAAATGTCAGAAATTGATTCAACATCCTCAATAACCAAATCGGCCAAGCTTTTTTTTTTAGCTATTGTCTGCATATGCTAATTAACGCAACTTTTAATAATTGTGCAAATTACCCAACATATGCAAGTTAGCATCCAGCAGTTTCTATGTGCTGGGGACCCATACTTTACATTTCTATCATAAAACTTGCAAACAGACTAAAACTGTTTTGTTGTATCCTGTTTACGTCATCCCGCCACATGTAATCCATTACTCCCCAAGCCTGTGTGTTAAACTTGAACTGAGTGAATACATATTGATGACTCACATTCATTGCAGCGATGTCATTCTCGTAGGCCTCCCTGACCTTCTTCATCACCTCCACCTCAGCATTGCCGCAGGCTTCGATCGCCCCCTTCACTGTGATGGTGCGCTCCATGTTGTACAGGGTCAGATCCTGCAGGCTGCACACAACAGGGACTCATCAAACTTGTATTACTAATTTCTAACAATTAAGAGATCAAACCATTAATATATACACTGAAAACTTGACCTTAATCAAATGTATTATGTCAACAGATTTCACATAACTGTAGGGATGGGAACGATTAATCGAATATTCGAAATTATTCAGGTATTCGAATAACTATTAATGTATTCGAATATGAGTTATGAATATTTTTATAAAACTTTTTTTTTTGGGAGCGATGCCTAAGTTGATTACATATTATCAAATTGAATAATTCAATGTATATATATATACGACAGTGCCATAGCTAAATGTGTTAGGTGACGTCTAAAGGTGTGTTTTGCTCTGCTCACCGGTCCCTCACAGCGGGCAGAGCTGATCTCTCTCTCTCGCGTCCGGTTATACTTCACTCGTGTTTATGTCCAAATCCATCAGATCTAGCTAGTTCTAGCTAATGATATGACTGCTGCCCCTCCCTACACGCAGATCACGCAGACTCAAACCTCATCTTAGGCCCAAATGTGGGGCAAATGCGCTCCGCAGCTGTTGCGAGGTTCCGGCGCTAACAGTTCATGAGCGTGCTCCCCCGCCCCCTGTCAACACTCGCGACACATGAGTGGCCAGCCTAAACAACAATAAGCGCTGCTTGGCAACCGTGTGGCGGCAAAGTAGATAGACATTTTGACTGGAGAGATTTAGTTTTGCCGGTATTCAACATATTTTACCAGTCATAGTCCGGTAATTATTTACACTCTAAGAAGAGTCCTACACAACAGACATGGCGTCAAAAAGGAGTAATGTGTGGAAATATTTCGACCAGGTTAGTGAGTGCGGTGTAGAGTGCAAACTCTGCCAAATTAAACTTATATATACATACTATACCTTGCTATACCCGCAACCTCCGTTCCAGCTGAGAGGGTCTTCTCTACAGCTGGCCTGATTGTGAATCGCCTCCACACATGAAAGCTGTAGGCCTATAGCTGTCAAACTGTGATCACCAGTTCAATACATTTTACAAATTCGACTTGGTTCTACACTTATTTGAACATGTATGTATTTATTTCCAAAATGTATTAAAAAAATTAAATTAAATTTTTTTATAGGATATGTACATTTCGGTTAACCGGTTAACCGTTTTTTGGGGGGTCGAATATTCGAATATACATTTGCTTTCAAATTCTCATCCCTAGTATTAGGTTAGTTGAAAGCAATAATATTAGGTTTAGGTTCAACCTAATATTATTGCAACTGACCTAATAATGACTTGTCAATGTTTCAGTTTTTCAGTGTAATTGTAGCGACTTCAGGAACAAACGAAGTGTCTAAGAGGCTGAAGTTGGGCCTGGTTGCTTCCCGTCAAAAATACAGCGACCCTCTCACCCTCTCCTCCACACACCACACACACCTCACACAGATGAGTGCTGCCCATATACCCATGTGGCCTAACTAATCCAACTCATTATTGATAACAAAAACATAAATAATAATTTTATAATCACAATGCCAACATTTAAACCAGGGGTGTCAAACTCAATTTCATCACGGGCCACATTAGAATTATGGTTGCACTCAAAGGGCCGGTGGTAACTTTAAGACTATATAAAAATACATAATAAATATAAAATAATGTATTATTTATTTTACAATATTTCCTCTGCATTGGATTATTATCGGAATAACTTCATAATTAATTATGTCTGAAAGCAGATGTCTAGGGAAAATAATTGCAAGTCTCTTCATTGCGCATGTCACACAATGAGATGCATTGTGGGACATGTAGTTTATCGGCAACGTTCTCCTGTAAAGCGGCACGTAACTTTAAAATAAACTTAAATAAATGATATTCTTTGCAAGCTCTTGTGGGCCACATAAATTGAAGTGGCGGGCCGGATTTGGCCCCCGGGCCTTGAGTTTGACACCCCTGATTTAAACAATCTAAACTTGTTTACATTTACAACAGAAATCCCAACTCTCTGACATTGCTGGCTCCTAGAATAATCTAAATATTCTACATAACAGCCACATGAGACTTTTGTGACCTGTAGCCTCCAACCAAACTCTGTACAATTTTCTGAGGATTTAACAAAGAATGACTTCAACTTTATTTGAACTTCTTTTCCCACATAACGATATATGGAGAGACTTCTCTAGACTGCCAAAGATGCTCTTCTGCAGAGGAAATGAGTGTGTGAGTGTCTCTGTTTGATATACTATTAAAGTGACTTTCTTTGGGTTTTGTACTGACAAAACAAGACATTTAAAGACCTCACTTTAAGAAACTTCATAGAGATTTCTCTTTATTTTCTAACATTTTAGAGACCAAACCATTAATCCATAACTAGGAACATCGTTGTACAAACACAGCCAGGTGCACAGTTTCTAATCTGTAGCCTCCATGTCTTTCCTGCATGTCTCTGTTTGTACATTATAATAAAGTAACCATCTTTAGGTTTTCGATTTACAAAACAAGAAATGTAAAGACATCACCATTCTTGGAACATTTTAGAGACCGAACCATTCGTGTAAAATGTAATTAATCTACAGATCAATTAAACCCATTGTTAGCTGCAGCCCTAAAACCAACACGTTCCTGACCTGTAGCCTCCAACCAAACCAACCAAAACATTTTCTGAGAATCTAACAGTTAACGGCTTTAGCTTTCTTTTAATTTTCTCTTTTCAAATTATGACATAAAAAGGCTTCTCTACACTGCCCATTGCCCAAGATGTGTGTGTGTGTGTGTGTGTGTGTGTGTGTGTGTGTGTGTGTGTGTGTGTGTGTGTGTGTGTGTGTGTGTGTGTGTGTGTGTGTGTGTGTGTGTGTGTGTGTGTGTGTGTGTGTGTGTGTGTGTGTGTGTGTGTGTGTGTGTGTGTGTGTGTGTCTTACGGGGAGATGGTGATCTTGGTGTCTGTGTCCTGCTCCACTTTCTTCAGGTTGCGGCCCTCCTTCCCGATCAGGCGTCCCACAAAGTTGTTGTGAGCCAGGATCTTGAGAGGAACCTCATCAGCACTGCAAACATGTGAAACAACGTTAGCACCTGTTTAGTCTCTGTTCAGATCTCTGTCACCGCCTGATGCTGGAGGCTCTCCACATGTTGGAACATACGTCTTGGTGTCTTTGGCCTCCTGGTGCATGATGTCCAGGATCATGCGGCAGGCGGAGGAGCAGCCGTCGGGGGTGGAGTGGATGCTGATGGGCTTCTCCGCTGCGCCTGCGTTCTCCTTGCGATGCACGTCAATCCTGCAGGGATGGAAGAAGATGAGAATTACGTCAGAAGGTGCTTCCTAAATTCAGATCGGTGGAGTACTTAACTATGGATTACACCCGGCTCATTACTTGGTTTACACTAAATCTAGGAACAGCTGAGATGATGATGGCTCTTTTGGGCTTAAATATTGTCTGTACGATATCAGAGCTCGTGAATGTGTTGTTGCTAGAATATAAAGTTTTTCAGCAAGTTTTTCAGCAATTTCCTAATCCTGGAAATGAGTAAGCATTTTAGCACTTCCGGTACCCTCCTCTGGAATCAATGTTTTTGGTTGTTATTCTGAAATAAGGTCTGTGGTTAACACAAGCTGAAGAGATTGTATCATTTTCTTCTACAACATAAAATACCTCAGTAAATACCCCACTGGAGAACGTATGAAGCTTCTATGTGTCTCAAAAACAAGTGTCTAAATGAGACTACCAAACATCTACATGTTAAACATTAGCCACATTTAGCTTAGCGGTGGTGATGTGAAGTCGTGTGACCGTGATGTACAGTAGTTTGTTTATAGCCTTGCATAGCTTTTTACTTCTGGTGATTGCATTAACACATCGACTATTAAAAAAGTCGGGTTCATTAATGAACCTGCTGAACAAAACATGTCATTATCATATACGTATGTCCGTTTGCCACAGATCTTATTTTCTGCAATATACCAAAATGCAATGGAAAAATACCAAGCTGATTTGGAATAAATCCCTTTACCAAGTTATTATGGCTAAATGAAATTGTATAAGCATTCTGAAAAATGGTTCAACAAACAGACACATCTTATAAATAAAGGATGGTGTGACTAAGAGTCCATGTCGGATACAATTTTACTGAAGTTGTTTCTTCATTGGGCCACTTTGTGCGGATGCATCAGATGACTAATTGTAACATCAAATTTGTAAATGCAGTTTTGAAACATTGATATTGTTGCCTGAACACTTTTGAGCGGCTCTTAACTAAAGTATTGCACTTGTCTCAATGTTCCTCAGAGAAAACAGACTAAACCTTCCATTAATAATAAACAAGTTAAACCTCAAATAAGCATTTAACCTTTATCTTCATTTATAGATTTCAATGACAGCACAGCTCTAAAGACAGATGAGTTGGTGTTCTGATGGGGGGGGCACTCACTTGCTCTGCGTCTGCTTGGTGATGTTGCGGATGGTGGCCCCCTCCTTGCCGATGATGGCTCCGACGTACTGCGTGGGCACCAGCAGCCTCAGGGGGATGTCGGCGTGCGGAGGCTTGTTGAACATCCCCGAGCTCGGGGACCCCGCGCGAGGCCCCCCCCGGGGCCCGTATCCACGCCGGCCGTTTTCGGGCCCTCGCTGGCCTCCATCAGTCTCAGAGTTCTCATCGGGGATGTAAGAGACGCGCAGGGCGTTGTTCTCAAACTGGTATCCATTCAGCTTCTGGATGGCTCTGAGGGGCGAGAACAGGAAGTTAACATTGTATTAACAAACTAACAGAACTGAGAGAATACACATTGTGCACACATGACATGGAAGAAGGATAAAAGTGAGTGAGCAAATTGTTAACGATATCGAGCCGCTTTAAAGTACACAAGTAGTACGAGGAACTGAGCGACGCACATAAAGAGGCGACATGGGGTCTGCGGCTGAAAAGAGAAACCTGAAAGTTAGACATATGAGTTAAATCACTCAGTGAGGAGTTCTGTCAGAGAGATGGTGTTTAGTTTACAGCAGCCTGTGACGGCCAATAATAATGTAAATGTCTTCCTTACTGTAAGCAGTTATGAAAGACCTGTTTGTGAAAGGTTCTTTGTATTCTTTATTGTTCATATAGAACCCACTGCTTTCTGCTCACTGGTGAGTTAGCCTATGAATGAGTGTTAAGCACATCAGGCTGGCAGCTGTATGGGCATTGCTCTATGGTAGCTGTTATTTGCACATTGTTAATCATGAGCAATACATCCTTACATTGTTTAACTGTGAGGTGTTATAACATTGTACTCTGGAGAGCTTTTAAAGGTAAAAAAGAAACAGCATGATGGGATGTGCAGTAGACTACTAGTAGAAAGAACCAAATATGTAAAGCACTATTATGATTTGCTTCATATAAGGAATAAAACAAAATCCTCTGTCGTACCATATTGAAGTATTATTATTTTGCATCGCGTTGAATCGCATCGTATCGCCCCGAATCGCATAATGCTGAACCAAATCGTATGGAACTGTATCGCTACAGGGGTGAATCGTATCGCATCGCCTGGTGTTTCAAATGCATCGTTAATGTATCGTATCGTTGGCAACGTATCGAGATGCGCATCGCATCGGCCTCAGTGATGGAGATGCACATCCCTAACGGGGGTGGAATGTAACCAAGGACAGGGATGCTTTTGAGGAACCACTGAATAGGAATTACTGCACTGCACCCAAAATTAAAATCACAATTTTACTATTTTTCTTTTTGTATACTTGCACTATTTTGTCTGTGTTATTGTGTTGCACTGTTGGAGGAGCCTGTGATCTAAGATTTTCATCGTCATAACTACACTGTACTGTTTTTTCTGATAACTATAGTAGGTAGTTACTTTGAGGAGTTATAATAACAAACAATAATAGAATATAACTATACTGTAATTGAAATAGTTCTACTAGTCTGGTTGAATGCTAAACACAGGACTGAGGACTGATTTGTATGGTTATCAGAAATCCGGTTTTTTGTCCTACTGCAAGGAAGAGGACGTTTACAACAGCAAAGAGTACTGTGCAGATACAAGTCAAATACAATAAGTACAGCTAACATTCAATTTAAAGGTAAGCACATGTTAATGAAACCAAATAAGTACATATACATTTACATTTTGAAATGAGTCGCAGCATTATGAAATAAGTGAACAAATAAAGTGACTGAAGCTGTAGAAAGCTGTAGTTTCTTCAAATGGCCACTAGATGTCAGAGGCGGATTGTTGGAACATTCAACTATGCATGTTTTAAAAGGTACCTAGAGCATGCAGAAAGAGTTCTGTGACAGCGTCTAGAGGAGCAGACAAAGAGGAGGCAGAGGGTTGGAACATTGAAATAATAAAGGATGGAGGACTTACTGCCTGGCGTGCTCCCGCGATGCATATGTGACATTAACCACTGCCGTCTCACTCTCTGTGTTCACTAAGGAGGAGAGAGCATGTGTTACTTTAGTGTTACTTTAGTGATGCTTAAAGGCCCTGCTGTTTGGAAGAAGAAAGGATGTTGCAGCCTCATTTTGTTTGTTTCTGCCCAATGAGTGTAGTAACGGTACACATGGTTGTGCATTGATATATAAGCATGTACGCAGAGACTGACATACTGTATGTGGGCACAGACACTCACAATTATGCTATAATAAGCATATATCCCAACAATGTATATGTTTTATTAGACTAATTATAAATGAAAAAAATGAATACAAAATGTACAACCACAAATATGACTTACTTATATAATAGATTAATATTCTAAAACGTACTCCTGTAATTGATCGATAAGCAATCTATATTGGTTGCAAACTCTCACAGGCCACATAAAAGCAGGTGCTGGACCACGGGCCTTGAGTTTGAAACCCATGTTCTAAGGCAGTGGTTCTCAACTGGTCAGGCCTCGGGACCCACTTTTTTCCTTTGTCAATAAATTGTGACCCGAATTTTTGAACCACTGAAATCTATTCAACAAAAAATCGTGCTGTAATATATATACGCTTTTCAGCATACAATATTAATGAAAGTGAAGTACAGTGCATATATCCCTTATATCCCTTCACAGAACTAAAGTATGCTTTAAAAAAGGTTTAATGAGATGATGGAATCAAGTTTCTAGAATCAAAGCTGAACTGTATAATATAAAAAGGCAGACTTGTATTGTAGTAAATAAAAAGGCACACTTGTATTGTAGTAAATAAAAAGGCACACTTGTATTGTAGTAAATAAAAAGGCACACTTGTATTGTAGTAAATAAAAAGGCACACTTGTATTGTAGTAAATAAAAAGGCACACTTGTATTGTAGTAAATAAAAAGGCACACTTGTATTGTAGTAAATAAAAAGGCACACTTGTATTGTAGTAAATAAAAAGGCACACTTGTATTGTAGTAAATAAAAAGGCACACTTGTATTGTAGTAAATAAAAAGGCACACTTGTATTGTAGTAAATAAAAAGGCAGACTTGGAGCCAATCCTGCAAATTCTCTACACGTGAAAAACGTGACATGTTGAAAACCCAACCCCAGAAGGGGGTCTGGGGGGAATCTCCCCCAGGAGATTTGTAGAAATACTAACATATAACTACGCATTCTGGTACACTCTGAGAAGAAAATATATAAATGTATTACTACCCGACATATTCATAATATTTGATGCCATTGTTTGTTTTTCACTTTGTTCTGACATCTTGCTGCTCCTCACAGAGAGAAGAGCAAAGAGGAGAGAGTCTGTGTGACTTACTTTAAATGGTGGGTAAGGGTAGATAGCCCCCATTGTTCTGTGACCTGTCAGTCATCAGACCGGGGGTCATAATCCTTATATGTTTATTTGTATCTGAAGTTGTACCCATGGATGTATAAAGAGCAGTTATACCGCAAAGTTATGTGGGGACTTCCGGCAACAATCTTGATTCTGATTGGCCAGAAGACTATGAAAAACATCAGCAAAGATGTTTTATTGAGAAGATGATCACTACGTGACAGAAGTTTTTTTTTTTTTTACGCACACATCTGCCCACTCGAAACGGGACCCAAAAGTGGGTCGCGACCCACCAGTTGAGAACCACTGTTCCAAGATATAGGATAAAGGGTTCTTTAATGATGCAAGATAAGAATGTGTATATCTGTATTCTTTTTTTGGTATCATGTTTCTTTTTATGAGCACTAGACCCAAGTGGTGTTCTACGAGATCTCAGATTTATTGTCATTTTCTCGAAGCACCTCTTAGTGATGACACTTTAGAAATAGAGGCTTTCTCTACTATATTCTAACATTCAATACACCTAACTATAAACTGAGAACACATAAGCAGATTATGAATGGACAATAATAAAAGGGGCCACTCCACTTTTTCTTATTTTTCCTTCCAAGTTGATTTGGGCCGATTGAGGAAATGTCCTGAACCTCTACTTTTCTTCCACCTTTAAGTCTTTTAATAGAGACGCAGACATCAAGGGTTTTTAGGACTGTCTCTTATTTGTGCACACTATATAACAGTTGAGATGTGTTCAATCCTCACGTCTCAGTTAGCACCTGGTTAGGATGTGAAGTACATCTGGGACACATGAGCTGAGGTCACAAGCCTTACCTTGTTCACAGTTCTCTACGGTCCCACACTGAGCCAACAGACCATCCAGCACCTGGAACACAGACAGAAAACACCTTCATTTGTTCAGCTCTTCATCTTTTGTACAATGTACAAAAAAATCACAGTAGGTCACATTAACACACACTTTCATAAATATATGAGCACATATCCAAAACAGAGCAGAGCACCTTCTCACACCCCAAACCTGCTGGAACATGTGCAGGTCTCCTGATGTTTTAGTACAACTAACATCCATCAGCAGTCTGGACTTCAACATGCTCACACAGATGGTAAAAGGTTCTACATTAAAGTCTTCCTGCTCCTACAATGCACTGCCATCCTGGCCTGCCCTTAAACAAAGAGTAAAGTCTGACACTTGTGTGTTGCTGTTCACAAGTGCATTTAAAATAAGTGTACATAGAATAAAACCCTGCTTGCTAAAAGCTCCATTTAGTCAAACCTGCTTTTAAAAAAACGAAACAATGATTATAGACTATACCACTCGTAAAAGGTGATATACCTTATATACCTGCTGGGACAAACATCCAACATATTACCCCTCAGAAAGCTGCAGATACAATTTACTCATCGCATAAAAACAATAACATGCATGAAAGCAGAAACCGACTGACAATAACGTTAAAAAGAGAACAATCACATTTTTAACCACTTTTCATCCACTCCCAAACCCCTATTCCTCCAGAGCCAAGAGCTGAGCAAAGAAAAGACCCCCTCCACAACCAATCATAGTCACACTCAATATAACACAATGTAAACTATGTAGAGAGAAGAAACTGAAAGCCTGCATCTGCCGTAGTGTTCATTCTTTAAGACTATCTATGTACACGAGATTTGAATAAATATAATAATGCAAGTTCATGTTATTTATCTGAAATCCTTAATAAAAGTCCAGCAGATGTTAACATATGAAACTGAAGGAAACGTCATTAACTCAATGAGTTCATTAGTTAATCTAACATGCTTTTATTTTGAAGTAAGGAATATCCCACCTCAGCACATCTGTCCAACAGGACTGATCATTTATTCAGGTCCACGAGCATCAAAAGCACATTCACTTCAGAGAGAGTGCTGCGGAGAGACGTCGCCCTCTTGTGGACACACACATACAGACACACACACACACACACACACACACACACACACAGACACACACACACACACACACACACACACACACACACACACACACACAGACACACACACACACACACACACACAGACAGACACACACACACACAGACACCCACACACACAGACAGACACACACACACACACACACAACACACACACACAGACACAAACACACACAACACACACACACACACACACAGACACACAACACACAAACACACACACACACACACACACACATACAGACACACACACAACACACACAGACACACACACACACACACACACACACACACACATACAGACACACACACACACACACACACACACACACACATACAGACACACACACACACACATACAGACACACACACACACACACACATACAGACACACACACACACATACAGACACACACATACACCACACACACACAACACACACCACACACTACAGACACACACACACACACAGACACACACACACACCACACACACACACACACACACAGACAGACACCACACACACACACAGACAGACACACACACACAACCACACACACACACACACCCACACATACATACAGACACACACACACCCACACACACATACAGACACACACACACACACCACACACACACACAACCACACACACACACACACATACATACAGACACACACACACCCACACACACATACAGACACACACACACACACACAACACAAACACACACACACACACCCACACACACATACAGACACACACAAAACAGACACACACATACAGACACACACACACACACAAACACACACACACACAAATACATACAGACACACCACACACACACACACACAACCACACACACATTACAGACACACACACACACACCACACACACACACACACACACACACACACACACACACATACAGACACACACACACACAGACACACACATACAGACACACACACACACACACACACACCACATACATACAGACACACACACACCCACACACACATACAGACACACACACACACACAACCACACACACACACACACACATACAGGACACACACACACACAGACACACACATACAGACACACACACACACACACATACATACAGACACACACACACACACCCACACACACATACAGACACACACACAACCACACACACATACAGACACACACACACACAACCACACACACCCACACACACACATATACACACACACAGCCCGACAAGAGCAGCAGAGAATCTCACACACACATGCACATCCTAACCATATGAGCTGAAAGAGGGTTTTCACAGTCAAATATCGGGATGTTCATTTGTTGTTGTTGGCTTGTTTACGAGTATTTCCCTCCACTGTCTATGTAATGCAGTGATTCCCGCTCTCAATCAGCTGCTGGCTGTTTCTCATGTCCTGCAGTTGGTATTACACATCCAGCTGAAGGGACAACATAACCGCAGCATTTAGCAACAATCAATAGGTTACAGTTTGAAACAGTTGATCAATACCTGACTGTTAGCTCATGTGCGATTCTATTCACTGTGCTCCCTTTATAACAAACCTGCAGCTCCCACTGACTGATACACAGTCAGCAGGTACAAGCAAATACAACCAACAAACACCACACACACACACACACACTCCCACAACACCTCAGTAGTGCATGTATTTGTAGTGAGGTCAGTTTGGATGGCCGTAGGTTCCTGTATGGCAACCGTTTTACATATCCTTGGTATCTTAGGGCTCTTTCCTCCACTAGTGGGCTCTATTTCAGAACTAGTCAGACATTCTGTCGCACTACTTCGTCAATCTGTCTTACTAGTTGAATGAAAAATGAGAAACGTTTTCCCGACTAGTTACAAAATAAGACTTACGCCAGGTGGCAAGCTTTTCAACAAATGGCCCTCTGGAACAGTGACACTGCAAGTTGAATGGTTAAAGAGGGAGTGGCTAAAGGTCTGACATGGTGCTAGTCAAATATGGATTTGGCTCACTAGTTAGGGTCCAAATTCACAATTGATTCCGATTCCGCCACTTTTCAGAAACACGCCGATAACGTCACTGTAGTAATTGGTGTAAAGCTTGTTTTAGACTGTGTTTGTCAAACGGAAACTTTCAAAATAAAGACCAAATAGTTCATTTGTTGGAGCAGATCGGCCGGCGGGCACTGGACGGGTTGTTTAGAGCCTTTACCTATACATGTAGTTTCAATGTAATATCCATTTTAATAGGGGATGTTGTGGATGGAAGGAATGGTGTGTTGTTGCTGGCAATGTGAAGTTCAAGTCAAGGTCACAGTCATTAAGGAAATATGAACTCACCTCCCACTGCAGGTGAGGGGGAATGTTTCGGATCTGAAGTTTCCTGGTCCTGAGGAGAGAAGAACAACAAGAAGATGGTAAGTTTAAAGGTCATAAGATGAGTTCAAACTTCAGCCAACACAGACGTTTGGGGACTCACAGTCACAGTTTTGAATGTGTGTGTGAATGTGTTCCGAAAGGTTCCAGTTGATTGTATTCTCTCCCCAGATCAGAACATCCCATGCTATACATGTATTGTATCTGTACAATGCTCTAACCCTGACCACACTGCTTTAGCAATACATTTGACACAGGATATTGTTTTTGGTTAAGCTCAAATAATGTTATGGAAACCCTCTACCCACAGTTGCTCAATATTTTTAGTCAGCTTCATATCGTGACCAGAAGATAAACAGGGCTCTGATCTATGTATTTAATTTGCTATACATTATTGAAAAGTGACGCTGTGTTCTGGAAGAGCCAGCGCAAGGTCTGCTGTAGCCATTCTGCATGAAAAGGAGCCATGTGCCTCTGCTTTCAACCTAAACATCTAAATGAAGTTTAGAAAGTGTCGTTTTTAGCTGTATATTCCTACATAAAGAAAAACACAATGTTTTATTTTGTATTTCAGTCAATGTTTAATTGTTTATGCTGATGATTTTTCTAAGTAATTAATAACGTAACATGATTGTTTAATAATTTACTGTTGTACAACCTAGAGCAGGGGTTCCCAACCTTTATCCCCAAGAGCCCCCCCAAATGACTCCTGTTGGAAGTTGCGCGCCACCCCCCCCCCCCCCACACATACACAAGGGGGGGGGGGGGAGGAACAGCGGTAATTAAAGTTGAAAAGTCTCAAAATGCTACAACTACTGTCACAAACTGGATGAATGATGTATGTTGTTAAAGGAGGATGAAAGCGTAATTAAGCAGCACTGTTGGAGTGACTTTGATGGTTATTGGACTCAGGATTCATTCATTTGGATTCCCGCTGTATGAAGAAATTAAAGGACGGCGCAAGTGGAAACAATTCACAAAGGGATTAAACTGTTTAAAACACATGCTCAAAGTGAGCCGGATTTTGCCGATGTGTTTATGTTGATTCAAAAGTCGTAAATAATCTACAAAATGGAGGAGACCGATCTGATCGGAGCAACTGTGACAAATAATCCAACTGAAACCGGCATGGACAATGACTATGTTTAAAAATGCGCTTATCCAGAAAAGCCCGGTTTGGACACTTTACGGGCAGAAGAAACATTTCTATTAAAGAAAGAATTATACATTTATTTTTATAGCTACTAACTTGAATTTGTATTCAAATGAATTAATCAATTATGTTTTATATTTTATTGTAATGTAGAGACAAGGCTTTTAGCGACAATCATGTATTGCGTTACAATTATATGTAAAAAAAAATAAAATGTAAAAAATAAATAAAATAAAAGTCTAAATATGATATTTGGCCAGAAATCATCTGCGATCTTTGGCGCTCCCCCAAGGGGGGGCGCGCCCCCCAGGTTGGGAACCACTGTCCCAGTATATGAACGTATTCTGCAATATTCCATGTTTTAAATCGTATCCCCAGTGTAGTGCTTTGTGTTCCTGTACACAGTTAGCAGACGGCTGACATCCAACACATTCAGCGTCTCTTGCTGATTGTTCTATGTGTCCCTCGTCTCCCTGTTAGTTTAAAATAATAAAATGTAATCCCATTGTGATCTTTTCTGTTTGGTTATTGGCCGTACAAGTGTCTTTTACAGCCAGTGACATAACAGTGCCTACCAACCATGTTTAAAACGTTTAAAGTGGAAAAGTTACTGCTACTCCGCTCGCCGTACAGGTAAGTCAATAGCCAACATCGCTAGTGTCCTCTTAATATGGAGGACTTGCCGTTGATGACGTCACATTCCCATTCCCTAAAGCCCACCATTATGACGCTTCGGTTCTGTTTGTTGGAGAAACACACTGAATCAACGGCAGTAGTGGGACAGCCTCCTGCTCAGCCGCCCACACACAGGCTCAGTGGGGGAGGGGTGCTCTGCTGAACAGAAGAGTGCATGTGTGCAATCTTAATCCTGGGTCTGTATGTATGCTTGCTGTTGGCACTGTCATCATGTGCGTATGTTCCTTAAACTGCGTCTTGATCGTTAGCACTTCACTGTTGCATATGGGCGATCACATTAAAGACCCTCCTCCCTTTAGCATACAATACATCAGGAACACAAAGCACTTTTTACATTTGATTTATTTGAATTTCTTATATTTGTATTACTGAACCAGTATTGTCTTATTAAATGTAGTTAATCAGAATCAGAATACCTTAATTCGTCCCATACAGGGCACATTTACATGGTTACAGCACAAAGCCAAAGAGGCATGCATACAATATTAAAGATACAAATAGAAATTACACAAATTATAATTTACAAAATAAAAATCTAGGTGGACAACAAAAAGTACCAGTAAGAGTCTTTAAAAAAATAAATTGGTGGAGTTTGTATAAAGTAGTGTTATTACAGATGTATTACCGTAGTATCGTCTAACTACAAGATAGCAGCCACTAATAATACAATTATAAAGAGGTATATATATATATATATATATATATATATATATATATATATATATATAGATGTGTTATTGTCTTTGTTGTTAAATGGGTGGGGTTAGGGTAAGATATCTCCCATCATTTTTTTAATTTAAATTGTGTTAGCTGTAATTTGGCACTTCCTTGTGTTTATTTGACAAATAGTCTACAAATTGTTATCTTTCACGGTCAACTTTTATATATTTTACTTTTTAGTTATTTAATGTTTGATTATTTTCTACTCTTTTTTATTTTTCAAATGATGTGCATTGCTTTGTTTTAACATGCTGCTTTGACAAAAAATGTGAGATCAATAAAGAATATCTTATCTTTAAGTTAAGAGTACGTCTAGAGCTGAAACGTCTTGGGATTCATTCTGAAACTGATTCCTACACCGGACTGTTTTCCATCTGGTGCAGCACCTCTGACCCTTGGTCTTCTTCCTGCAGCTAGCCGAGCAGTGGTCCCTTTTTACCGCTCTTTATCCAAACCCCACCCAACTTAACATCAATGGCCCTAAACCCCAACATCAACCATCTCCACCCCAAATAATAAACCCCACCCAAAACCCCCAGGAGGCACATTAATAGTCTTTTGTGCATCCAAAATACCTGGCAACCCCCATCCAAAACACGGGAAAGTCCTTTGATCCTTGATCAATGCTCGGCTAAAATCGCCACCTCCATCCCCCCGAACCTATCGAGCACACGTGAAAACAGCAGCATACCTTTCACATCAAACCCCACGACACCCACACACATGCGAAGTCCCACCTTATCAACACATCAACTGCCCATTATGCTCTCCAACGCTCCAGCACGGCCCCCCATAACATACACACACATCCCAACCCCCAACAAGCCACCAAAAGTGAACTTGTTTGACCCCTACCGTCGACGCCTGCCAACCCATAGCCTACCCCGTTGGCTGAAACGAAACCATGGCAACAGGCTAGGAATGGGCGGGCGAAAAAGAAGGATGGGCAGGCGGATGGACGACAGAATAACATGCCTAACATTTGCTAACATGCTCGTTCACTCAGCTGTTATCTTTAAACATCTTCTACCTTCATGGTGGAGGCCTGCCTTGTTATGACTCCCACGCTCTTTCAACCTGAGCTAAATGCTAAATAAACACTGAGTCATCACTGTCTTCCTCAGTTTAATTGTTCATTAAACTGAAATATTTCAGTAGAGCTGAATAGAAGGGTAAGAGAATAACATGTTCTGTTGGATATATATTTGCGACACTAAAACAAGAAATCTACTCTGAAACTCTCATTCCTGACTCTTTGTTGATATGCATAGATGGAGAGTCAAAGAAGCTTGAATATCTACTTGCCAGCGGTGTGAACCTGGAAATGTTGAGTACCCCAAAGTGTTATGTTAGAAATGTATAGTACAGGTCCCGAGCACACCGAGACTGCCAGATGCTAACTTGCATATGGGCAATTTGCGTAAATTATTTTCATAAAACTTTGGGTTTCTCTACATTTCCGGGCTCACACTAGGACTCGCTGTATGAGATGACAGATAGACTAATATGTCTTGGGTTTAAGGTAAAGCCGGAGCCTTGGATAGGAAGGTTTTAAATCCGTGCTCAGCTCCAGCCGCCAGGGAAACAAAGAACCAGGGAAGAAAGAAAAGAAGTGAAGAGGATGAAAAGAGTGGTCCTGTAGGTCGTGCAGGAGGAGAGGAAGGCTTTCCTCTGGTAGGGGTCAAAGGCCGAGGGTTGCAGCTCTTCAGACCAGAGCGAGGGACCCTTGGACCCAGCGAGGCTTGTCTGTATATAATAATTAAATTAAATTGAATCACTTGAGGGTTTTTTTTTGTGCTTAACCAGACTTAAAAAAACCATACTTTTTGTTTATTTCATTGCCTGGTAGACAATCTTCTACCTAATTATATGGCGCTTTGAGGGAAGAATATCACTTGCAATTTGCCTATCATCATTTGACTTAGACAACAATTTAATGATATCACAAAGAACCGAAAATCAGCAAAAGTCCTCACTAAAATGCTGAGTCAACATTATAAGCAGCTGATGGCTGAGCTTCTTCAGGTCTTGGTGGTTGGAGACTTATGGCGCATTTCCACTACATGGCCTCGCTCGGTATGGCTAGGCCTCGTTAGGCCTCGTTAGGCCTTGTTAGGCCCGGCTCACTTTATGGCAAATTTCATTACAGTTTAGGAACTGGGGTAGTATCTATAGTAACGCAGTGTAGGCGGAGCCGTGACGTCATCTTCAATGAGAACCCCCAGAAAAACAACATCAGCCGTTAGCTGTTAGCCCTCAGAGCTCACAGCTCCTCATATCTGTTCAGAAACTAGACCAGGGATGGGCAACTCGGATGGTGGTGGGGGCCACAAAATGTATGTACTGGCCACCAGGGGGCCGCAGATTCACTTGGAACACACACACAAATGCCATGTACTGTATGTAATTATGAACAAATTAAGTCTGACATCTTCATTGACATT